CCACCCCTTGTTTAGCATATAATCAAGAAATAACTGTAAGTATACTCAGTTGAGCCACCCATACTGCTGCTCTACCTGTGGAGTAGGCATTCTTTTGTTTCTTTACTTCTCTAATAAACTTGATTTCACTCTTCTCTATGGACTCACCTCAAATTCTTTCTTGCACAAGGTCCAAGAACCCTCTCTTGAGATGTAGGTCAGGACCCCTTTTCAGTAACAGCCTGATAAGTGGGGAACTCAGGAACTGAACTCAGGTCTACAGAACGCATGCTCTTAACCACTGCGCTCTAATCATTGTCTCTGCAATCTCAGAAGAAGACACCGGGCACTATTCTAGATATTTTTACATGTATTATATTATTCAATCAGAAAACTTACTTTTGTGGACAATGTCATCATATACCTTATTAAATTATTATATGTTTCTTGGTCTTTATTTCAAAACAAATACAGTTTGATGAAAGTCAGATTTATTAATCATAGATTGGTAGCTTAGTAATAATACCTTAAATCCAGCACTTGACATTCTATAAAGGGCTTGGCCAGTCATTGCTGAACTTGATTGTCCCAACAAGATACAATTATTAGCACTACTTGACAGAGAAGGAAACTGAGGCTGAGATAATGGCCTTGTCAGAGGAGATCGAACCAGAGTGACTTCATCTTGAATAGGAGTTGGGTAAAATAAGGCTGAGACCTACTGAGCTGCATTCCCCAGAGGTCAGGCATTCTTAGTCATAGGATGAGCTAGGAGGCCGGCACAAGATACAGGTCACAAAGACCTTGCTGATAAGAGAAGATGCAGTAAAAAAGCTGGCCAAAACTCACCAAAACCAAGAGGGCAATGAAGTGACCTCTGGTCGTCCTCACTGCTCATTATATGCATTAGCATGCTAAAAATCACTCTCCCCAGTGCATGACAGCTTACAAATGCCGTAGAAACATGCGGAACATATGGTCTAAAAGGGGAAGAAACCCTCAGTTCTGGGATTGCCTGTCCCTTTCCTGGAAAACTCATGAATCAGCCACCCCTTGTTTAGCATATAATCAAGAAATGACTATAAATATACTCAGTTGAGCCACCCATACTGCTGCTCTGCCTGTGGAGTAGGCATTCTTTTGTTTCTTTACTTCTCTAATAAACTTGCTTTCACTCCTCTATGGACTCACCCCAAATTCTTCCTCACACAAGGTCCAAGCACCCTCTCTTGAGGTATGGGTCAGGACCCCTTTCCAGTAACAGCCTGATCAGTGGGGAACTCAGTTATCGAACCCAGGTCTAGCATGCTCTTAACCACTGTGCTCTAATCATTGTCTCTGCACTCCTAAGAAGGAATATGCCTCAGACACATTTTAATGAACAAGTGCTAAATTTCTTTGCTCAGATAATTTCTTCAAGCTATGTCATTTGGAAGGAAAATAAAACAGCATGGGATATAGCAAAAAGTGGTGAATTTCATTAAACTGATGTAACAAATGGAAGCACAGAGAAGAAACACTCTAATGGTCACTTGCAACATGTAAATAAAAAAGCAAGGTTTGCACCATGGTACAGTTCTCCACCCTTCCTGGCAAGTCCTCCTAATTACTCTGATTCCTCCCTGGCAAGTCCTCCTAATAACTCTGATTTATGGTATGTAAAGTTCTACATCAGAAGGAAAATCAACTCCTGTTTACCTTGCCTCACCATTTCCCTTCCCATCTCAGAAGGGACTGTGCAAAGCCACTATACAGACTCAATAATTTCTTCCGCATTTCAAGATGCTTTCTCACTGCTTTTTGCTTTTCTTTCTACAATGAGACAGAGAAGCAATTACCTCTCCATCTGCTCATCTTGATACCTATGCTTCGCTGGGCTAGAAAGAAGAGGAAATGAGAATGGGAAATCTAAAACCAAAGGCCTAGAGCCTGAAGAAGATGCACAAAGTTTTTAATTCAATGAGATTTGCATGAAAATCTGCAGTTCAAGTTTCTATCCCACTCCATTTCTGAGAAAAACCTAATTGCATCTGACTAAGGCAAGACAAACAGAACTGTATTTTTTAAAAATAATACTTTTAAGGTTCAGAGAATCTAGTATAACTCTATCTTGCATTTCTACAGTGATTTACACTTAACAAAGCATTCACATACATTATCTCATTTGTTTCTTAAAGCAGTGCTAATTCCTTAAGTAATCATTTGAACTAGGAATTTAAAAGGATTTGGCAGAAACAAACATTATCATTTTGAGTGCCTACGGAGTGCTAGTCATTGTACCGAGTGATTTGCATTCATTATCTCCAATTCTTACAACAACCCAGCAAGGCAGGAACATCAGCCCTGGTCCCAGCAGAGTTTAAAGTCATCCAGCAAGGATTGCTGCAGCAACCTGAGGCTAGCAACAGCTCTGACAACTCAGAGAGGGTAATAAATGGCAACACAAACTATGGCTTTCCATGGAGTGAGGGGCCAACCCTTGTGATATAACAGGGAAAAAAATGAGGGGAATAGATACTGTTAACTCACTGCTCACCTGCTGTCTGATCTACCACTTCTGCCTCCCTTCCCGCTCCATTGTCTAAACACAATTGGAATCAGAGGATAAGGGGTCCCACTGATGAAACCCAATAGAATGAGCCTCCTGGGTCATAAAACAGGGTAGGGAAGGGTGAAAAGTGGATCTGAAAGGGAAACAGAAGACATCCAGCACAGTCCAACCCTCCCCCAGGAACCCTCCCCCATCATTTACTGTATTTTTAATTCAATTGCAAAAATGCCAAACCAGGATGAAATGATATCAATTCAGTCATCTTCCCAACAGAAACCCAAAACATGAGCAATCACCAAAAGATGGTTTCCATAAAACTATCTTTTTTCATAAAAATATGAGAATAAAAGGTGAGGAAATAACTAGTTAACATAAAATATAACTGTTATATTTCTGAAACCAACCCAATTGTCTCATAGAATGATGTTTATGGTTCTTGAATAAACATCTGAGTTCCTTTCTCAGGAAACCAACCCTCAGGCTTCCCAGGTAGTATTAAGGAAACTGATACTCACCATATTGGTGAGATGCCAGACCCCTTATTCCTCCTGATTGTTTCCTTACTCTTTCTTAATTTGTTTTCTAAATTCCTTCCTGCTATATACACCCCCAACCCCATTTTAGCTGGTTAGAAAGAACAGGTTTGCCTCCCATCTTCCCAGCTGATGTCACCTGCAATATAACAAAGCCTTATCCCCTGGCAATACTCACTGTTTCAGTGATTGGTTTTCTGAGCAGTGAATGACAGGACTTACATCAAACACCTGGCATTTCCATAACAGTTCCTGTAGCTTCGCATGTGAGCATAAGACCTAAGGTGATAAATGTAGCAGCCAGCCTTCTTCTACCATTATTCCATGTTTGCCCTATCCTCTGCCCACTTCTCAACTGGATGGTGTTCCTTACTGAAAAATTGACCACAGTCTTGATTTATGAAGGGCCTGAATTCATTAGGGGATAACTTCATTATCCCCTGGTAATCAGGACCAGTCACCTCACTGAATGCAGTGACCCCTTTTCTATACAATGGTCAAGCTATATCAGGAGCTCAAAATGGCCAGTGGCAGCTTCAGCTTCCAATTCACTAGGAACATGACTCTTTTAAAAGTATTCTTTCTTTGGGCATTAGGATCTCCAGAACATTAAGCAGAGGTACTTCCTATGGGTTATTTGGTGTATTGGTAAGATAAGCCACTCCCATCTCCACCCTTGGTTCCCATACCTGGGCATTCTGGCTCTAAGGGATGACACTATATCCTAGCCATTGGTTTTGAAGCATGTATACCATATCATGAAGGACAGCACTCCAAATTCATAGAACGTTGCCTTCCTACCATCTTCATAACTGAGCCTTTGGCAGGCCATCTCACCATTCTGTTAAGCAGCTGCTTCTAGGTGATGTTGCACATGATAAGGCCAATGAATTCCATCAGGCTAAGTCGACTATGTCATACCTCTTGCAAGAAAAACTGACCCCAAGTCATAAGTAATATTGGGACAGATAAGGCATTCTGTACAGGAGACAATTGAGCAAGCTCTGGGGCATACCCAGAATGGGCAGCTAATCTACCTAGTTATGGAGAGCCTCATCCACTCTGGGTGCTCTCTATGGACATTAACACAGTACACAAATATCTGTACTCACTCCAAAGAAATCCATTCATATACTTCTCTCCCAGAATTTTGATGTCATGTAGGTGCCCAGCCCTACTCAAGAGAGTAGGGAGTTTCAGGTCCAAACTCAACCTGAAACCAATGGTCAAGAGAGCCCTTTGGTGTCATTCATAGGTCATCCCACCAGAGCACAGAACAAGGTAGAGAGGATAAAAACTGTAACCAGAGGGCAAAGATATTCAGCTCTGTAGATACTAGTGTCCCTTTATTCAGATAAAGAAACTAAGATTCCAAAAAGCAAAAATATTTTGCCTAAAGTCACACAGCTAGAAGAGGAAGCTGAGGTTCAAATCTTCCATTCTAAAACTTGTGTTCTTCCCTAGGCCATTAGTACCACATGGAGGAATAGAAAGCCTCTCAGCTTCCTGTCAAGGAGAATAAGGTTCATCTGAGATGCAAAACAATTACCAGCTTAAAACATTTTCTTACATTGATAAGTGAAATCCAAAGTTCCCTCCTGTGGTCATTAAAATTAAATCTTAAAGATTATGATGAGCAAGGAATTCAAAGAGCTTTATTAGCTTGCTCAGTGGAATGTCTTCTTAAAGATGGCTTCACCCCCAGTCCTGAGCCCCCACAATCACAGCTTCCAGAAAGAGCAATCTGTCTAATAGAAATATAATGTGAGCCACATTATCAAAGTTTTAAAAATTTACATTTTAAATTTGAGTCTCATTTTAAAAAGTAAAAAACAATGATATTAATTTTAATAATGTGCTTTAACCCAATATGTGCAAAATATTATTTCAATATGTAATCAATAGAAAAGTGTTTGTGGGGTTTTTTACATTCTTTATTTCATACTAAGTCTTCCAAATTCAGTGTGTATTTTGTACTTCCAGCACATCTCAGTTCAAACTTGTCATATGTCAAATGTTCAATACCTGCATGTTGCCGATGCCTACATATTGAGCAGCATGGTTCTAGAGATGAGAAGGCCTTCCACCTGCTGGCTGTGTTTCTTCTCAACATCTCAGATGCCGCATCCTGAAAATAGGGATCATAGTACTCTTGGGACTAAAACAAATAATAATAATAAGAAGAAGAAATAATAATAACATGAATAGGTAATATTTTTTTATCATGTGACAGGCACGCTAAATTTTAGAGAACTTATAGCACTTAATTCTTATAACAAAATACAACAAAAAATCGACACTTAAAGTGATTAAGTATCTTGCCCCAGGTCACAACTAAGATAACAATTTGAGCACTGACAATCTGACTACAGGGCCTGAACCCTTTTATGAGAATAATAATAATAATAACAATAATAGCTACAAATAATATATTTAAATACCCAGGAAGTTGACAGAATCAGCAAGGCCTCAGCAAGGCCAAACTTGCATGATAAATGGAGCCATTATTATGACACTACCCTCAAGGAGCTTATAATGTTGTAGAGAGAAAGAACACATGGGATGAGATAACTAGTCACAGTAGGCAGTTTATGGCATGTAACAGGCAAACAATGGTGAGCTCTACAGACATTCATAGGGGCAGTGATCCATGTACAGTCTTAGGGCCCTGCAAGGGGGAGATGAAATACAACAGCAAATGCAAGTAGGTCCCACTTCGTGGGCATGTGTGACTTGTGCAATCACTTAGGGCCCTGTGCTCAGAAGAGTCCCACACTTGGTTAAATACTCAGCTATCATGGTCTTGAAATTATTAATAATTTTATCACTGAACTTATATTTTTTAAGTGAAGTCTGCTGGGACAATGGAGAATGTTCATGAGCAGAGGAGATACAGGTAACATGCAATCTATGTGTCTTCTTCCATTTCTTGCTGCCTATTTGCATACAGCATTCATGATGCCCCATGAGCACATGTGTGGGAGTTTACTGAGATTTAAAGGGAGTACAAGGTGAGTGTGTTATGAATATAACTTGAGAACTAAGCTCTGATTTTTTATCTTGCCCAAATTCCTACATAAGGGGTCTAGGGGATCATGCTCTACACAAATTCTGATCAGATGGGTTTTATTTGACCCTATATATCGTAACTTACTTTTCAATCTCACTCTGGAATACCATTATGAGATAAGGAAAAATATATAACCTCAAAATATATTTTCTTGTCATATCTTGAAATTGCCCTGAAAGTCTCTTGTGGGAAAAATCCACATTCTACAGAAAATCCCCTTTCCCTTTTGTTTTCCTTCCTTTGTTTTCAGATCCAAGAGATAATCAACTAAGAGCCAGATACCCTTTTAGGTCTGATAAGAAACACACAACCTGCTCTCTCTGAAGTCTGCTATTTGAGAGATTCCACTGCACAATAGAACTTAGTCTCCACAATCCTTTATCTTAACCTGAACATTCCTTTCCATTGATCCCAGGTCGTCAGGAAAACTCAACCAATTGTGAACCAGAAAGTGTTTAAATTTACTGATAGTCTGGGAGCTCCCACTTTGAGTTGTCCCACCTCTCGGAACCCAACCAATGTATTTCTTAAATGCATTTGATTGATGTCTCGTGCCTCCCTAAAATATATAAAACCAAGTTGTACCCTGACCACCTTGGGCACATGTTCTCAGGATCTTCTGAGGGCTGTGTCACAGGCATGGTCACTCACATTTGGCTCAAAATCAAGCTCTTAAAATATTATAAAAAGTTTGACTCTTTTCATCAACAAATGGAGTAAGAGGACAGCACCCCAAGAAGCCACAATGTCCCTTTGAACCAGAAATGGCTTCAATCACAGAATGAAGTCATTCTTTCTAAGAAACACACCATTCTAAGAAACACGAACAACCAGTGAAAGCCATCATATCCTTTCTTAATTATGCTACTTTATTAACTAACTACTCATGCTGAAAACGATGACACAAAAGAAAAGGGAAAGATAGGGCAACTCATATTGATTTTCCTTTCAGTCTTTTCTTACTCATCAGTAACCTTAAGGCAGAGACGTTGGGAGACTGTGTGCATATCAAGAAGAAAAATAGTAAGTTGATTTAGTTTTGTGTAGCATTTTCACTGTTCTGGTAAGAACAATACATATATATTTGTATATATATGTAAGCTATGAAAAACAAGTTGAGTAATTTTGGTGATTCTACATACAAGTTAATTGCTTTTTTACTTGCATTTAAAACTGGCATTAGTAGGTGCTTCCACCATGGCTGAATAGGAACAGCTCTGGTCTGCAGCTCCCAGTGAGATCAACACAGAAGACAAGTGATTTCTGCATTTCCAACTGAGGAACCTGGTTCATCTCACTGAAACTGTTTGGACAGTGGGTGCAGCCCACGAAGGGCGAGCCAAAGCAGGGTGGGGCATCGCCTCACCCGAAGCACCAGGGGTTGGGGGATTTCCCTTTCCTAGCCAAGAGAAGCCATGAGAGACTGTAACAGGAGGAACAGTACACTCCTGCCCAAATACTGTGCCTTTCCCATGGTCTTCACAACCTGCAGACCAAGAGATTCCCTCCAGTGCCTGGCTCAGAAGGTCCCACGCCCACGGAGCCCAGCAAGCTAAGATCCATTGGTTTGAAATTCTCACTGCTAGTGTAGGAGTCTGAGATGACCTGGGACACTGGAGCTTGGCGGGGGGAGGCGCATCCACCATTGCTGAGGCTTGAGTAGGCATTATTATGCTCACAGTGTAAACAAAGCTGCCAGGAAGCTGGAACTGGGTGGAGCCCACCACAGCTCAGCAAGGCCGACTGCCTCTCTAGATTCCATCTCTGTGGGCAGGGCATATCTGAACAAAAGGCAGCAGGCTCGGTCAGGGACTTACAGAAAAAGCCCTCATCTCCCTGGGACAGAGTACTTGGGGGAAGGGGCAGCTGTGGGCACAGCTTCTGCAGACTTGCCTGACAGCTCTGAAGAAACATCCCTGCCTGACAGCTCTTAAGAAAGCAGTGGTTCTCCCAGCACAGTGTTGGAGCTCTGATAAGGGACAGACTGCCTCCGCAAGTGGGTCCCTGACTGTTATGTAGCCGGACTGGGAGACAACTCCCAGTAGGGGCCAACAGACACCTCATACAGGAGAACATGCTTGGCATCTGGCAGGTGCCCTTCTGTGACGAAGTTTCCAGAGTAAGGATCAGGCAGCAATATTTGCTATTCTGCAGCCTCCACTGGTGATACCCAGGAAAACAGGGTCTGGAGTAGACCTCCAGCAAACTCCAACAGACCTGCAGCTAAGCAGCCTGACTGTTAGAAGGAAAACTAACAAACAGAAAGGAATAGCATCAACATCAACAAACAGGACATCCACACCAAAACCCCATCCATAGGTCACCAACATCAAAGACCAAAAGTAGATAAAACCAGAAAGATGGGGAGACACCAGAGCAGAAAGGCTGAAAATTCCAAAAACCAAAATACCCCTTCTTCTCCTAAGGATCACAACTCCTCACCAGCAAGGGAACAAAACTGGATGAAGAATGAGTTTGACAAGCTGACAGAAGTAGGCTTCAGAAGGTGGATAAAAACAAACTTCTCCAAGCTAAAGGAGCATGTTCTAACCCATCGCAAAAAAAGCTAAAAACCTTGAAAAAGGGTTAGAGGAATGGCTAACCAGAATAATCAGTGTGGAGAAGGAAATAAATGACCTGATGGAGCCGAAAAACACAGTACAAGAATTTCATGAAGCATACACAAGTTTCAATAGCTGATTCGATCAAGCAGAACAAAGGATATCAGTGATTGAAGGTCAAATTGATGAAATAAAGTGAGAAGACAAGATTATAAAAAAATAGAGTGAAGAGAAAGGAACAAAGTCTCCAAGAAATATGGGACAATGTAAAAAGACCAAATTCATGTTTGATTGGTGTACCTGAAAGTGACGGGAAAAATGGAACCAAGGTAGAAAACACTCTTCAGGATATTATTCAGGAGAACTTCCTGAACCAGCAAGGGAGGCCAACATTCAAATTCAGGAAATACAGAGAACACCCCAAAGATATTCCTCGAGAAGAGCAACCCAAAGACACATAATCGTCAGATTCACCAAGATTGAAATGAAGGAAAAAATATTAAGGGCAGCCAGAGAGAAAAGCTGGGTTACCCTCAAAGGGCAGCCCATCAGACTAACAGCAGATCTCTCTGCAGAAACCCTATAAGCCAGAAGAGAGTGGAGGCCAATATTCAACATTATTAAAGAAAAGAATTTTCAACCCAGAATTACATATCCAACCAAACTAAGCTTCATAAGTGAAGGAGAACTAATTCCTTTACAGACAAGCAAATGCTGAGATATTTTGTCACCACCAGGCCTGCCTTACAAGAGGTCCTGAAGGAAGCATTACACATGGAAAGGAATAACCAGTATCAGCCACTGCAAAAACATGCCAAACTGTAAAGACTGTCGATGCTATGAAGAAAATGCATCAACTAATGGGCAAAATAACCAGCGAACTTCATAATGACAGGTTCAAATTCACACATAACAATATTAACCTTAAATGTAAATGGGCTAAATGCCCCAAATGAAAGATACAGACTGGCAAATTGGATAAAGAGTCAACACCCATTGGTGTGCAGTATTCAGGAGACCCATCTCACATGCAAAGACACACATAGGCTCAAAATAAAGGGATGGAGGAAGATTTACCAAGCAAATGGACAGCAACAAAAAAAGTAGGGGTTGCAATACTAGTCTCTGATAAAACAGACTTTAAACCAACAAAGATCAAAAGAGATAAAGAAGGCCATTACATAATGGTAAAGGGATCAATTCAACAAGAAGAGCTAACTATCCTAAATATATATGCACCCAATACAGGAGCACCCAGATTCATAAAGCAAGGTCTTAGAGACCTAAAAAGAGACTTAGACTCCTACACAATAATAATGGGAGACTGTAACAACCCACTATCAATATTAGACAGATCAATGAAACAGAAAATTAACAAGGATATCCAGGACTTGAACTCAGCTCTGGACCATGCAGACCTAATAGATATCTACAGAACTCTCCACCCCAAATCAACAGAATATACATTCTTCTCAGCACCACATCGCACTTACTCTA